AAAGCTAGCCAATGGAGTCTTATAGAGAAGGTATAGGGCTAGCCTAAGAACTCTAAACGATTTTGAGGGCAGACCCAATAGATCTGAAAAGGTTGCGGTGTGGGGGCAGATAGCTCGAAGGCATACCTCTCTAAATCTAATCTAATCATCTATTCTTGATGTACTATTCTTTCATCCTTGTACAGCGTGTAAACCTAGCAGCCTCAACCAGAATAGGATGCACAGTAGTAGGTATACATGTTTTTATTTGATTATCAATTCCATTCTGATTTTTGTTTTTCTATATAACTCCAAGATCAGGGTGGTGAATTCCCTTTTATCAATGTTATGATGTGTCAACATGTCAGGGAAGATATTACTGCCGTGTAGGTAAATTTCTTTTTGATCGTTCTAAAGGTTGGAAGGTATAGGTATCTTCAACTGAAATAAATGCATATATCATGAAATTTAATATGAATGCCATCATGTTGAGGTATTCAATGCATGAATTGATCGAAATAAAAGTGTCCGAGTAGGAATTTATTATCGTTTGTTGTATTCTTATTTATAATTATTCCATTGAAAATTGATTTTCCCTACGAGTGAATCGTGGGAGACTGAATCAATTGTGCTGTCATATCATTACACTAAACATATCTCGATTTTATAGTTTAACACATTTTCATTCATTGATATTTAAATCGGAATTTGAGATTTCTAGGAGGTCTGCTACAGATTAGGTATAATACGTATACGTATATTAATACGTACATATACGCATTGGTATATAATCTGAATACCGATTTCAACTCGAACGCAAATCTCAATGAATATTTTTATATTTCTCAATTTCTCAAAGAAGGCATTTCACTCGGCATTTCATGGAACAATACAATCGACCTGCGCAAAAAATTTTTGAGAACTCCATACACACTCTGAATTCTGATGCGTACTTATAACGTAATAATAATGGGGATTATAGGGAAGTTTCCTTCCCGGCGAATTTATTTTAAACTCATGGTCAACGATATTTTGTTGAAAATATGACGAAATATTTTATAATTCATTTCCTGCTCTATAACTCGGTATCCGTTGCGAATATGAAAACAATCATATTAACATGAAATTTTCATCTTTTATTTCTCTTCAACTCCTGTATGGATTTTTTCTCGATATTTGTCCTCATTTTCCAAGACTGCGGCTGAAGCATATGTTCTAGTGTTGATTTTTGATATGTTCTTATTGAGCACCAGAACCACGCATATGCCTAGTCTCCCCTTTAGGTGAATGTTTTCCAAGTAAAATCCATAGTGTGCTACAATTTCATCCGCCCCACCCCTGTACCTTCGTATTTCTAGGGCCATTTGGAAATATTTTTTTCTACTACTGCTATGAAAAGTAGCGCATTTCTCGTAGCTATAACTTAGTTTCAAAACCATGTATTACTCATACTGTGAGAAATATTTTTTCTCACGGCACTTTGCCAACACTACATAATTTCCATGGAGAATCAAAAAGAATCGACCAAAACTTGGCTGCTGTTCAGCTTTGAATAGTTGCTACAACTGTCAGAAGAAGGTTTTCAAATTTGTTAGGGTAGTTCTCATTAGTGCTTTCGAAAGAAATCGCATTTTTCATCAAATATTGTCCCAACAATTCACAATAAATAATATGATGTATATACCGAGATGTGACGATGTTGATAAATACACCTCCAGAGACAGAGATAATGGAAAAATCTGCAAATCAAATCTAAAAGCATACAGAAATAAAATCTTTTTCGGAAAGTGTACTTTTTTGATATACTTTTTGAAGAACTAGGAAAGGCGTCTACTCTTTGGTCACAATATTCAATGTGGCATAGTGCCACATTATGAAATGAATACCAATAAGTTACATTACTCGGATTCTTTGAATAAGTGCAGTTGTAGAAAAAGTATAGTGTGCAACATGTGGGGAAAAGCCCTTTTCCCACTTGTTGCACAATATAGTATTTTCCCATTATATTGTTGGACTTATTCAAGTTTCAATTCTACTTTTTATTATTCATTTCAATTGACGTAACATAACTATCAAATATACATAAAATACAGGGTGCCACATCTGATACATTTTTATGAGCTGTTGTTTCAACATTTGATATGCATTGGGATCATTCTGAAGTTTGAATAAATTAGAATTTTCCTTGGCTAATGAACAGTCCAACATTGATATAACTTTACCAAACTTTATTCTCTCCGAATCAAAAACTGTTTCCACCGCATTGAACCAAAGTTCAGGTTCATGTTTCCAAAACACAGGTAGGGTAACCGATTTCGTGCGATTGTATTGTATTTCGAGGTTTTCATTTTGATTTAAAATATTTGAGGAAGAGGTAGATGGTTGATCAATATTGTCAATTCTTGGTTCAGAATTTTCTATATGAATGTTTCTATCAAATTTTCCAAATGTTCAAGTTTCTCTGAAAAACGTACACACAAAGGTCGAAATAATCGAAATCATTTGGATTCTTCAAATCTGGATACTTTTCTCTTATGGAACCTTCCAGAGTTAGTTTCATATCTGATACCGCTCCACCAGAAGGTAACTTGAAATGTTGCAGTACATTGAGCAATAATTGCCTTTTTTTGATATATTGTATCAGTAGAACCATCATATTCTTCCGTGGTCACCAATTTGGTTTCTAGGATAATTAGTTGTGTTTTATTCACATAAAATATTGTCGACACTGTGACGTTGCCGCTTATATTGAAAAGTAGCAACATCTTTGATTTTTTGAATGGGACATCCTATACATATATTCCTTCTTCCTAAAGAACTGATTACATGGACCTATAAAAAATCGAGATTTTTCAACTTCAAGAATTTCTTGTGTCGAAACTATTCATAATTAGTCAAAACGGTTTTCATGTCCCTATCTCAACTTTTCATGTTCCATCAATTGATATTTAATCGAAATAGATACAGGGTGGTTAAAAATCTTAATTCTGAACCACCCTGTACCTATTTCGATTAAATATCAATTTATAGTAAATGAGAAGTTGAGATAGAGACGTGGAAATCGTTTTGACGTTTTGACCAATAATTATGAATAGTTTCGACACAAAAAAATCTTAATGTCGAAAAATCTCGTTTTTCACATCCGATATGTCTGTAATTGTCACTGCTAGACCCCAAGTAGTATAGGTCAATGAAATCAGCTCTTCAGGGAGAATCTGAAAATGGCTAATATACAGGGTGTCTTAATCAAAAAATCAAAGTTGTTGCTACTTTTCAAGATAAGCGGCAACGTCGCAGTACTAAGAATATTTTAGGTCGACAAAGCACAACTAATTATTCAAGGTATAAAATTTTCAGAACAATCCCAAGTTACGTTCTCCAGAAACATCTAATGGGTCTTCCACCGTGAATCAGCACGTTTAACGTAAACAGATTGGTGTAGAAAAAAATAACTATTTCTTTGATTTTTTCCTAATAGAAATCTGAGCATTTGTTCATGTATATGTACACTGGTTTTTCATGAACTCAACGGATAAATGAAAATCTGGATAAAGAAAACCTTCCCATTGTATTTATTATACCTAGGGTTCAAAACCAATTTGCCATTCCCAAGATTTTCTGTCCTATGGCTAAATAACATTTACCATTCGATTTCGCTCATTTTATATGTAAATTCGGTTAAATTAAAGTTAATTCATCTGAAATGTCAAGCATGCCTTTACATTTTTGCATTCTATGATTAGTATGATTAGTCTAGGTGTGGGGAAAATTCAACAAAACATCAACTAGAATAGAGTATGACGTCTTATAGTTTGAATTTAGTATATTATTGTCTGAAGGAGTTACAAGAATTCGCATCATGAAAACAAGAGAAGATTATTATAATATTTGTATTCACGATGGCACGATACAAACGATCATTTTTAATGTTTATTTAATTCTGTTATGTCCATTTTGTCTCCTGTTATTGTGCTATTGGAATTTTAATTAGGGATAAATTCACTATCACTTATTTGATTTGCTTATTGATGGAATTTAGTAGCTGAGGGAGGGCTTTAGGTTTATCTACACTATATATTGGCAATGAGTTTCCACTTTCAATAAATCTCTTTATTTTTGAAAATATCTAATATATAAATATGAAATTATCAAAATTTCCATTTTAAATTCTGTCAGTTGGTTAATCGAGGAGGTTGAACATTATTCATTTCACCAGATTTTTTGGTTTTTTTTACTTGTTTCGATGAATGAAAATATGATGAGTTTCATTTCAATATACCTGTAGTATAAGTAAAAATTAGATGATTTGTCCCAAAATGCCACTGCGTTTGAAAATTTCACAATTATTAGGTGTTTGGTATAGTGATAAACGGTTTTCTTGAGTTTACAAATGATGAACCTCAAATTTAGTTCGATTTTTGGTTGGCCTATAGAGACATCTTCCTGTAGAACGTTCTTAGTTTCAAAGATGATGATGAATTGATGTGAATTAAGAATAAAATTGGACCTAAAACGGAACCTTGTGGTACACTACATTCGATCTCCCTTATGGAGCTACAAATATTATTGATTTCAACATACTGCTTTTTATCTTCCAGATAATTTTTTAACCAATCAAATATTTTTCCTCTGATACCCATTGAATATATTTTACTCAGTGAAATATCATGATTTACAGTATGGAAAGATTTACATAAATCTAAAGACAATAAGAGACCACATTTATAATTTTGATCAATTTTAAACTGAATATTCGAAATTACATTAAAGTCAAGTAACAATTCACACGTATAACCGGAAATATCACCCCTGGGATGGGCATCCTCGGACTGATACTGATCCAAAGAAGAGAAAAATCCACCTACGCATCTCGCCCTTTCCCCCCAACCCTTCTGTTCTCCTGCTACTCGGAGCCCCTGAAACCGGCTGAAAACCGCAATCCTGGCGACCGGAGCGAGGAGGCGCCAATTCCCACGATTCCTAGCCTCAAACTGCGCCTCCGAGAGCTCAAAAGTGCATCCTGATAGGCCATGGAGTGCCAGTATCAACGCATTCGGTTCGAGATCTAGACGGCCGAGAGAAACAGAAGACGATCGCGCCGGAATCGCGTGTTCGGACGCCGGTTAGCGCGCGACCGGCGATCTTTTTTCTTGGTTTCGCCGCCTACTGTGATCCGAAAGGATAAGCCGGGATTGTTGGTTGGATATTGGGTCCTAGTCTCGCGTTTGTTTTTCAGAATTTATGATTTGTTGGTGGATTGTTAGCGAGATTATTTAGGTGAACTTTTTGGTTACTGGGAGGTTGATTGAGGTACGTTTTCATTGAAACGACAGATACCTACCTATTCATTGTATACCTATTACTATGATTTTTACGAAGCCCTGGAAGGAACATAATTATACAATGAAAAAATTAAAACTCCTCAAAATTCTCGGGATTTTGAACTTCCGACTTATATCTCGGAAATTTACATCCAAAATTCCAAGTTATATATAATTCGGAATTTTTAAATTCCGAGCAATAAGTCGGAACTTTGATGTATAAAATTCCGAGATACAAGTTGGAATTTCAAAATTCCGATTTATAACTCAGAATTTTAAGGAGTTTTCACTTTTTTCATTTTTTCATTCCCTTCCAGGGCTTCGTACTACGTTGAGTTTAGTTTATTCCGGTTTATTCATATAAAAAAACCATTTTTTGGGGATTTTGCGGCCTACTGTGATATGATGAAAGGAAGAGCCGGGTTGTTGGTTGGATATTGAATCGTAGACACGCGATTGTTTTTCAGAATTTTTGATTTGTTGCTGGATGTTATACCGAGATTATTTAAGCGATCTTTTTGGTTTCTCGGATGTTGATTGAAAGTATATTTTGACTAGTAGTACCACCAGAGAATTATTAGAATCCCGAAAAATTTTTCGAGCTCATGGATATTTTGGGAATTATTTCGAGTCGAAGACGAGAAAAAATTCCCGGAAAGTAATTTGACCTCGTGTGGTATTCGGTAAGAAAATTTCACACCAATTTTTGTTTGGAAATTAAATAATTACAGAATTTATTTATTCATTTGATTTGCATAAAAGTTCATGAATAAATTTAATTTGGGTAGCAGTTTCGGCACCAATAATAGATTCCTGATTTCTATACCTATATGGTAATTTTTCATAAAAAAACAATTTAACTGTCTAAAAATCACTGTTGTGGAATTATCATTGGAACGTCAGATTTTCATTATATACCTATTACCTTAAAAAATAAGGAAAAGAACATTTTTTTTCGGGGTTTTGCCGCCTACTGTAAACCAAATGCAAAAGTCGGGACTGTTGTTTTTACGTTCATGGGAATGTTGGTTGGTTCTTGAAACGTAGACACGCGATTGTTTTTTAGAATTGTTGATTTGTTGCTGGTTCCTTGGAGAATATATTTGAGCGATCTTTTCAGTTTCTGGGAAGTTCATTGAAGTATGTTTTCATTGGTTCGCAGAATAATTCATCTGTAATAATTATATGTGGTGAAAGTTATATAATAGTCGAGTAATAGTCCATTACATCTCAAATTGGCAAATTGGAGTGGTTAGCTACCTAGGATCAAAACTCGAAGTCATTTCCCCACAATTTTATTAGTATATAATCAATGTAACTCAGTCATAATTAATGTACATATTCCATGTTTAGGCTCGCCTTCAACGAGATGAAAAATTACGGAAAAGAAAAACGAAATTTGTACTTGAGTATACAAACTACATTATAATGAAACCATGTGACAAAATGTATAATGATTATGAAAATTGTATTGATTACATTTCGATCTTGAATAAAGTTTCACGTTTATGACAAATGGGACTCCTAGGCCCCAAAAGGCAACTAAGATACACGACCATATTCTGGACACAGAGAAGCTACTTTTATATTGGCACTAAAATGTATAACACCATCCCTGGTAGCATAAAATCTATTGAAAACAAGGAAATATTCAAATCACATCTGAAAAAGTTTTTACTGCAGACTCCAAGATCTTATTTTATCACCATGATAGATGTTAATGGTTGATTTAAAATAATTGAAATGAAGAACATGATATACATAACTGTACCCTGTTTTACATATTCAAATTGTCTTTTATTCTATTGTAATTTTTTATTGTTTTTAACAGTATGTCATTGTGATCTATTGTATTTCATTATATATATTATCATTTATTATATTGTATAGTATTTTGATTGGATATCATTGTAATTTATTGTATTTCATCGGATCTTATCCATTTTATTGTGGTGTTTTTTTTTGTGCATCTACATCTTTACATTTTTTTTATATACTATCACAATTTCTACATCTTCATACTATTCATGTCCCATACATCTACACATCTTTTATACAACTTTTCGAACATTTTTTCACCTATATATTTTTTTCATGAGAAACAAGTGCTTGCACTTACTCTACATACTACTTTATTCACTTTGATCATGTAGTCATATAGTTGTATTTATTTATTCTGAATGAAGTTATAATTATTATTATTATTATTTCATGGATACCTACGCTGACGAGCGAACTTGAATCGAAAACAAAAGATTTTTCAACTTGACCCAAATGAATATTTATTCCAAAACTTAGTTGGATCACCCTATATTTATCAATTTTCCAAAACATGAATCTTTCCGATTGTCTACATATGAGAAAATGTGAAACATTATATGCAAATCGTGTAAATTTATCGAGACCTAGCATCAGGATCTATATAGATTTGGACTCATTCAATTTTTTTAACGACTTGTGTTACGATAATAATTTATGTCCTAATGTCCTATGGAGACGATATTCATGTAGTAATCTGTATAACACATACATTTTTGTTTTAATTGTTATTCGAAGCAACTATTCATTCTAATAATAATTGATAAGATCATATGAATGAGTTCACAACTGAATGAATTTACTTTATTCTTTATTTTAGCAAGTATATTAGCATATCGCGGTTAGTTGTTTTTGTGATGATAACAAAAAAAATTCCAACTGATCCCATACTACTTTTTAAGACATTCTCGTACATACAGATTGTCCCAGAGATTTCCGCAATACATATCAGCTTGTGTTGAAAATAGTCATAAATTTTTCAAATCCTGAAATTGATCCTCGGATTGAGCTATGCTTCATCGAGTACAAGGTTTTTTCCTAGTTTTTTTTTTCAAATGATCATAGCCTCGTATAGTGGCCTTATCATTTATAGCCACCCTGTGGTATAAGTTTTCTCATGTTTTTCACGGTGGATTTTGGAGATCTATTTGATAAAATAGTAGTTTACCCTCCAGGAGACTGGAATTCCTCGGGAAGTCCGGGTAATCTTTGGGAATTCCAGGAATTTTTTGGGAAGTTCGGAAATTCATTAGGAAGTCCGGGAATTCCTCGGGGAATTCATTGGGTAGTCAGGGTATCTTTTGGGAAGTCTTTATAATTACGATTATTTATTTTCGAAGCTTATTGTCTCTTATCTGATTTCAAAATGGCGTTGAATTTATTAGAACTTATTCACTACCACATGCACTCTATATCTACTAGAATAAAATCGATTCAACATTTTTTTAATCTCTTGGAGCGCACGAAAGGGAATCCCGATTATATTTGAGATATTTCATGTCATTTCCATTGATTCGCCTTTATCACTTTTCACAATACACGTTTTTTCAGTGAATCAGTTTTGTCCTCAGATTTACCCATTGGAATTGAAGGAAGTGTAAAAAATAAGTAAAAAATAATCATCTGAAAATCTGAATTTATTTGCACTAAAGGGTACAATAATTAACTAATTTGTGAAATATCAACTGAATTTGAAATCGATATATCAGGAGATATATCATTGAATGAGTAGGTACCTACTGGAATTATTGATGAGAAATAGCACCAAACTTTGTCGTTCTGCCCTGAAAATCGAACATGGGAGTGTAAAATGGAAATAGCAATATAAAAGTAGAGGTAATCCTGGGGAAGTACGGGAATTCTTTAAGTAGTCCGGGCATTCCTTGGGGAGTCCGGGAATTCCTTGGGAAGTCTGGGAATTCCTTAGGAAGTCTGGGTATTCCTTGGGTAGTCCAGGTAGTCTTTGGGAATTCCGGGTAATCTTTAGGAAGTCCGGTAATTTGAGTAGTCCCAGGAATTCCTTGGGTTGTCCCAGGAATTCCGGGAATTTCAACAAAGGAAGTCCAGTGTACCCGAAATTAACCCGTGATTTACCCCTCGCCCACCAGTTAACCTAACAAGTGCGAAAAGTCACTTTACATCCATTCAATTTTGTTTGCTTCACAGTATTTTCAATGTTGTACCATTATTGGCATTTAGAACACTATAAATGTAACGAAATTGGTTGAGTACAACAGAAGATGCTTGTGGACGATAAAACAATAATTTCAAGTCGGGAACATCAAGAAACATTTCCGGTGAAATGTTATTGCTTCCTACTACTTTGAAACCGAATTTAAAACATTGAAAAGCTCCTAAATCCCATGTTGTATAGTTCATACTCAGATTCATAATGAAAAAAATGTGAGAAAATCATAACGTTATTCTCCTACTTGCATAATCAAAGTAAGTATAGAATACCTGAAGGTTTTTTCGAAAAATAATTCGTTTCTAAAAATAAAATTAGCACGAACTTCAATTCAATCTTCAATGTAGTTTTTTATGAAAATGTGGGAACGGCAGATATTAATAGTGTATAATATGAAGCTACTTCCGAGAATAGTTCGACCGTTTTTTTCAGATCAGATCGCGTTTCTCTTCTCAATTTCCTTCCTACACTTTTTCATTTTCTCTCACTCCCTGCTCTTGACGATAATAGTTTAGGCAAATAAATATACTCTTACAAGAACACTCGCAGGAACGTCACTATCCTCATTCCACAGTCATTGTAGTTAACACAATTCAAAAAAAGATCTCAGCATTGCTATTATACAGGGTGTTGTGAAATTCCCACTCGGAGTCACAGATGAACAAGTGAAAGCTTTTGTAAATTCATAACGACTAAAGGTGATGGATTTATGCACACCGCTTTTTCATTAATCAATTGGTTTCATTAACCGACATTAAATTCATTTTCATTTCAGTACTCTGATGCTTTTATGCACTAACTTTTTTTAACTTCGAACTATTTTTCCTGATCCAAGCATAGTCCTCAGTACTTAGCCCGATGAAAATATTGATGTTCTAACCTCCACTGCTCACATTATTGAAATAAGAGTAATATGTTCATATTGTTTTCAAATTCTATAATTTGAAGAGGAAACTAGAATTTTGTGGAATTTCAACCGCATC